ATACACCTAAGTCTGTTTTTACACGGTAGATTTGTTCCAGAAGAAGCCGTGTAAAAAAAAACAGTGTAAAAAAGGGAATTCCCTAAATTACTGCTATTCACATTTGCTTTGACCAGTAAAAATTGTTTGTACGCGCTAAAGGGGAATTCACTTAAATCTTTAAGCTAGTGTTCGCAAACTATCGATGGTTTCAGACTTCATTTCTGTCATAAATACTTTTTTGTGATATGGACATACTTCGCAAAAATTAAATTTGACAAAAAAATGTAAGTACATAAAATTTCAAATCGTGCTAAATGGAATGAAATCGTGTAAAAAATCTTATTTTAAAATGTACACAGGAAGTAGCAAATATCAATTTCCTATTTTTCGTTTAACTTTGGAAAAATGTACATTCGATAAGATATTAAAATTATAATAAATACCTAAAGATTTTGCAATTCTATTGGAAAATTTTATATACACAAACCACTGTGCAAAGAGTGTGTGTGTGTTTGTCGTGATTACAGTATATCATTGGCAACATTGGCAGTGAAATCCTTAATATTTTTTTATTATAAAATAGCTTAAATGCCGCAACGAATAAAAACAGAAATCTAAAATTGTTTACACTACTACCAGGTAGCTGGTCATTTGATGAAATTAAAATTGTTGAAAATCCATATCCAACACTTTGGCAACTTCCCCACAGCATGTCGCACACACACTCACACACATAAACATAAGTTCTGAATATGTGAAAATATAGTCGATGTTGATGCCCTTGTTTTGTTCGGAACCACATTCTTTTGCCATCAGACAGACATTATCTCACATTGGCTCTAAAAAGTATGACTAGGCAATGAAACTAACCCAGTCGGCTTCTTTTATCCACTGGGAGCCTCTAGTAAGTGCTGCCTGCTGAGGCACAACACCACCAGCAACATTGCCTGCTAGCCAACCAGCTACGTATAAAATGTTGCAAATACCATTGTCAGGATGTGAAGACGGCTCATCGATGGTTTGTAAACAAAAACAACAACAACAACCATGGAAACGTAACACTGAACAGACGTACAAAGCTGCAACCGCAATAATGATGTTATTAAGGGACGCCGGGGGAAAAGGAGTTGGGGTGTGTGCCAGGAAGGTGGCACAAGGTATGGATATCCATGGATAAATATGCATCGTGTCTAAATAACCACTCGCCCCAACACCTCTGCCTTCTTCGCATTCACTACTGAACCTGACTTGTCTCGAATTGTGGCAATGAGGCAACTACTGAGCCAGGCATTCTGGCCCATTCACAAAAAAAACCACAATGAAAAACAGAAATATTTTCACTTCCACTTTTATTTGAGAAGTCGCTGGCTGGCTGGTTGACTAGTCGCAGAGACTAGCTTGACTAGCACTAGTCACCTTCAAAAATAGGCCCAGACAAGCTGGTTCGTAGGAGAGCAGAGCAGCATGCAAGGGAAATATTTAAGAACTATGTTGAAAACAACACCAACAACAAACGCAAGAACAACGTAACATTGTCAGCAGAGTATGGCGGCCTGATAAGGAATGCCTGGCCTGCCAGAGCTTTGCTAAGTTTTGTTTAGTTTCCCAGGCTCATCTGAAAGGAGTCTGGCAGACAACAGTCTGCCATCCAATGGAATGAAGACAAACAAAAGCGAAATGACTTCGGTGTGTGGCACACTCCTGACTGCAGAACAGCGGGAGGTAGACCATGATGATGATGACGACGATAATGATGATGTTGTGCATGTGGATGACGACGACGATGATGCAGCAGTGTGCATTCAACATTCATTTCCATTCCATTTTGTACAACAATTTCGGAATGCAGTGTTCCTCATTCGAGTTCGTTGTTCTTTGTCCTCCGTTGTCGTTCGGTTCGTTCATTAGCGCAGGAGACGAATGCGATGGATAAGAAGAAGAGACCGCCAAGGCAGGACGAAGTAAATTCCTGAGGCCAAGTTTTGATTTGTGTGCTGTCAACTCTTGTATTGTAGCACTGCTGCATGCCTGTGATGCATTGCAATGTTGTGTAAGCCGAGCTTTGGTTACATGTGTGCGATAGATGATGGAGGCGTAGGTAGGACAATCATTGTTGCATTGGCCATCGTTAGTGGTTGGCTGATTTGATGGTGGTGAGGATAATGATGATCTATGCACATACTCACACACACATTCATGTGTACATACCGTGCCACCAGCAAATGGAATGATATTAACTATGGGATATTTTTAATTTTATTTTATTATAACTTATTGATGGCAATATGTGGAACAAGGACTATTCGGAACATAAGCAACTATCCAAGGTGTATTCAATTGAGTGTTTTTATGAATTGCAACAACTAATTATATTACTAAAACGACATTATTGGTCATAGAATTTCTTGGAAAATATATATATATATATATAAACAATAAGCAAATCCCCCAAATATTATCGTATCGCGGTAAAATGGCACAATTTAAAATTCATCTCCCTTTTCCTGGTACGTTTTGGGATCAATTTTGAAATATTATTTGAAGTGAATATATTCTTGATAATTTATTTTACAAAAAGGTAAAAACCGACTGTATCTTACACGTTATATAAATATCTTAAATTATTATTTATGTGCAGCTAAATACAAAACGTGAAATTAAGTAGAGAGAAACAGTGCAAATCGTCTGAGCTGTTATCTTAAAAGTGCAGGCACGATTTGTGCTCTTAAACGAAAAATTTGAGAAAGAATCCGAGAAAAAGTACCAAAGAAATGTATTTTGGGCAGTTAAATCCAAAGTGCAGCTATGTACAAGGCAGCTAAATCAAAACTACTGTATTCTGATTATTCGAATACATAATGATTGTTTTCGGTAGATTATAATCATGTATGAAGACCAGACAAAAATCAAAGAATATTTGAAAATGTTTACATTTACCGTTCTTGTTAATGTAGATAATAAAATAATCAATTCATGTGAGAAAATGTCAAGATCTTCTATATATAGGGAAAAAAACTTCCCATTGGATCCAAAGATACGATTTTAAGGGGCCTTTGTATAACTACATATTTATATTTCCTATTCTGGGTAGCAACACTTTAATAATCTCTGATTTTTTTAAATTTGTAATTGGACTAAACAAATAGCCAATGTGTCATTTGAACATTTTTTACCGGAACAGTCCTTATAGTTGTATTAATGTTCCTCATAGAATTGACCGGAACTGAATTTTAAGCCTTGTGATAATCTCATGAATCTTTGCCATACAAACTGGCAATTGGGCGACATATGTGTAGGTGAAGTAGAAGGAGATCTGTCCGTTTCAAAAAAAGACAGGCAACAACAACACGAACAGCTTCCAAGAACCTTTAGATGTTATCGACGCCTAGACTGAACTTCCGTTCACCTTACTCCCCAGCACAAAGAACAATCGTATTGTCCACAAGGTCATTGCATGCTACTTGTTGTCGATGTCGTCGTCGTCATCGCCATCGTCGTGAAACGATAATTTCCTTTGAATTGCTGGCAATGGGAGCCACAAGTTCGTGGCACTATGCGCAATCGCCAATTCACATCGAATTCATTGCAGATCATTTCATGCCGGTTTACGTTCATTTAAAGTTTACATGAAAAACTTTTAATTTTGATTTAAAGGCTGTGTTTTGTGTCACTGCTAAGGCAAGATTTCAAAATATGCGGCACAAGGAATCGTTTATTTCGAGATGTATGCGCTCTCAAGCAACGAAACAATAGCTTCGATAGAAGGTTTAGGTTATTGAAGTTTTATGCCTCCTTTTTAAATTCCTATAGATCATGACACAACAAAAATACAAAAAACATCACAACAACACCTCATCACTGAAATGCACAGCCATTTCAATTTCGCGGTATCCTCGATTTCTGGCGATTCCCATTGCCAATGAGAGCGCACAGTAATTGAAGAAGCAGAACTTGATGAAGGCAACAAAAAACTAGAGATCGTTTAAAATTGCTGATCTGGCATTTTTAACTGATGTCGCTGGCTGATGCTGGAGCTTCAATGTATCCACAGTCATCCCAGCCATCCAGCCAACAGCTCATACATACTCCATTGATGTCGATCGACTGTTGTTTTATTCTGGTTGTTGTTATTATTATTTAGTTGGTTGCATTTTTGTTGCCCTTTTTTAGTAAAATTGAAATGAATTCGCATTTTATGATTTCAAGGACTTTTAAGGAATATTCAAAACGTTTTTTGTGCTCAATGGTGCTGTCGATTCTCTACTGCCCTGCTAGCTATTTGAAAAATGCCAAGTATTGGCATTTTCCTTTGATGTCTGGGGAATGCGTAGCCAACATTATGCGGGTCTCAATATAACACATGAAAATTATAATGAATGACATTTTCAAATTTCCACTACATAATAGTATTTCAGAATGATCATTTAGCTAATGAATCAATCTTAATGATAATTAGAAAAGATGGCTTTAAATAACAAAAGCAATTGCAAACTAAGTCATTACATATGCGTGCAGACATATGTCTCAAAATCTACCTTCTAGTTATATACATAATTCATGTCCAAATATGACCAATTTATTTTGCATATAACTATGAAAAAAATTTAATTTTGCTATATCTTTATTTTGCACTCAGATAAGAGGATTTCCGACACTTGAATTCAAAAGGACCATACTTCGGCCTGTCATTTGACGGCGGCAGTGTAAAGAAGCCTCAGCGAATTGCAACACTTAAGCCACAACAAACAAACCATGGCAAACAATAAACTGCAACATTGTATGGTGCGGTTCCAGCAATGCGGCAACAAACCAACATCATTTGTTTGTCAGAATTTTATTTTTTTTTCTTGTACTTTGCAGGCGCGAAATGTACAAACATTCTGTCAACTAAAAATTCAATATTTGTACAAATAATATCAATAAGGGACATCAAGAGACTGAGTACAGAACATTTATGTATTAGGGTGGCTGGGATAGGAAACTATAAAAATCGATTATATGGAAGCATGAATACTTACAATCAAATCGGCTTTGTGTATACTGTTATCTGTGTAGAATACCAACAGTTCGGCAGACAATGCCCGACAACTGGGTTCACGTAGTTTTGAGGCAAGCAGGAGGCAGGCAGCAGCTAGAATTTGTAAATGTGTTTTTCGCACCGATTTTGTGGACAGGAAGCGATCCATGTAGTTGAGGGCCAAAAGTACAACTTCTTCTTGGCATTTCTCCTCGGCACAGACCTGCAATTTAAAGGAAACAAACACAATTATTCCAAGTCTTCTTAAAAATAAATAAATTAAGAAAAATGTATTTTTAAAACGTGGAATCTATAAAAAAATATAAGCGACTCTAGTTTAGCTGGCCACTAATGACCATGTCAGACATTGTAGTTTGCCATTTTTGCCGATTATTGGCCCCACAGCACAATTCGGAAGTAATTTTTGCTTTATTTCAATTATGCAAACACCACAAATAAGCATTTGAAAATTTACCGTAAGTGGTGATCAGCCAGTCAACACAGGAAATTGAGTTATTGAGTCGCTGTGAATTGATTTCGCACAGGTAACACTCAACAAAAAAAAAACGTAGCTCTGTGTGTTTTTGTACAAGTCTCGTTATTCCCAACTCTATTCACATTGTGGTCAAATGGTATTTTAGAACTACAAAGAAAAACTAAAATAGAAAAAAACAATCCCTAAACCACAATTACCATGGACTTTTGTACAAATGCAAAGTTTGTGGTGATTAAAGTTCGAAGAAAATAGAAAGTCATTAACATTTGCATTATGGCCATGTTAAGATTAAGAACAACAGGACAAGTAAGTGATTGAAAATGTCTGGTATTTGTTTTTTCGTTAAATTCTGACATTAGAGTGTTAATAAAAATATATTGAACTAATGAAATAGGTAATTAGAAATGGAAAATCCCTAAATTACAAATATTATTGCTCTGAATTTCTGCAAAGATAATTTTGAAATTTAAAAAAAAAAAATTATTTACAAAATATTGTATTAAAATCCACGAATGTTGTCAAAATACTTTTAAGGATAATGAAGAATTGAGTTTACTTCAGTTTATACAGTAGTATTGATTTACCTGCACAAACAACATTTGCAAATATTTCTGAAATATGCATGAAAGTCAAAAGGGTAGGTATCCGAAATCGTTTACCTGCCTCAACGTGCACGTAAGTGAAATCACTGTATAAAATGCGACAATGTAAAATTTTCTGCAATATGCGGTCAATGCTAAGTTTGTAATAATGCATTAAAAACAATAGCCATGTGTAAAAAATTAAGATTGTTTTTTTAATTTCATATTACCTGTGCAGCTAAATGCAAGGACGTTAAGTAATGAGAGGAGAAAAGTAAAAATTATTCTGTTATCTTAAATGTGCAGATATGAAACGAAATACTTGAGATGGGATCTAAGAAGTGTATTTTGTGTAGCTAAATCTAGCTATGTATAAGGCAGCTAAATCGAAACTACTGTATATATTGTTCTATTAGTACACCTACTTATTTTTTTTTTTCAAGGATTGCTTAACATTTATCTGCTTTTATATTTTTTCAATGTGTAAAACTTTATTCAAAAACCATTTAAAAATAATATGTAGCTGAAAAATATAATAAAAAATCGAATACAAAGAGTTCAAAAACTGTATGTATTTATCGAAATCCCCAACTGTCCTTGATGACACAGAAATGATCTCTTCAGCTGTTACATTAAATTTATCTATGAAGTTGAGATGTTTTTGTATGACATTTATAAAACAGATAAGTTTGTCTACTAGAAACGGGATGGAGAGTTGTTTGTAAAAAAATAGAAAAAAACAAACATAATTCTCAACTTGCAAAAGATAGATATGATCAAATAAAATTACTTGCAATTTGTACAGATTAAGCAGCACTACATGATTATCATTAATCATTTATGGAAGATAAAAAAGAAAAACGTACACTGTAATAGTTGCAAGAAGGAAAAAAATCCAACACTCGAGCTAAACTCAGAAAGAGTTTTGTCAATCGATTCTGAAGTAATCCCAACAAAACAAAATGTTCAAACAGCCAGTCGCTATTAACGTGGAATTAGCTGGCTGCCACTTTTTTCTACTGATTTATCTTTGGCTAATACCAATAAAAAGCGCCGTCACCCAAGTCAAGTTAGTTGCATGACTTGTCACAATTAAATGTTTTTGTTTTTTTTTCGTCAGTGATGTGACGCAATTTCTTATTTTTCACTTACAAAACCGAAAAGGGGTGACGGCTAAATCATAATTTAACCAACTTCTGTCAATAAGTACCAACCAGCCTGCTAGCCAACCAGCTAGCAAGCCAAGCAACATCATTTGGGTCACATAACAAAGCACTCGAGATTTACATTGTACTAAACATATGTTACAGAAAGGGAATCATCGTCATCATAATCAACATCAACGTCTTGACGATGGTCGCATGTAATTTAATATCTGCGCAATGCAAAACCCAAACAAATAAAACATCTTTTTATTAGCTCTTTCGAAAACAAAATGTAAGGCAAATTAAATAAACCCGCAAAATAAAAAATATATGAAAAACGAAAGAACCTTAATAAAATACTACATTTCCGGTATGGAACAATGCCGCAAATGGGGACAGCAGAAGAGGGTAGAGAAGTTAATGACGCACAAATCGAAGACAAACTTCACCACGTGGTTTTCACCAAAAGCTTATTCGTGCTGTTCCGAAACACCAAAACGGAACTAAGGTTTAACTTTGTTTAAACGAATAATTGCTGTGCTATTGCAATCAATGACTCGGGCGGACAAAGAGAGAGAGAGAGAGAGTGTGTGTGTGAGAGAGAGACAGAAAGAGAGGGGCATAACAATTAGCAAAATATGAATGCAGTTGATGAGGAGACGTCAAAAGACATAACTCACATAATTGACAGCACTTCCTCCCTCAGAATACAGTGACAACCAGCAGCCACTTGAATCCAAGAAGAAACAGTGTTATTACCCAACACAGTTGCCACGCGAATTTCCAGAAAGTTATTAACTAAAGCTCCAATCAAGTCCATTCAAAGATGTCATTGTGATTCAAACCTTTTAGAAATCAAAATTCCATACAACAGAATATCTACTAAAAAAATACCAATGATATAGACACGGTAATTATTATCGGACATTGGAATAAAAATTAGGCACCGGTTTTTTATCCTTATAAACTGTCTATGCATCGGTCTAGATGGTCCACTCAATATTTATATCTACATAAGTTATAAGGATCATATTCGATATATAACTATTAAATAGCAATGGTGTTATATGCCTCATTATTCATTCTTTGCAATTCCTATATTCTTCCAGTTCGTCTTCTCTTTCATTGCTAACAAAAATAAACTCATTAACATTTAAACAAACAAAAAATTACAAAGGAGTATACGTATTTAGGGTGCTTATCACTTGCTTGTCCATCAACATCTAATGGAAACATTGTCATACGCTAAAGTATTTACGCAGCCACTGGACATAACGACAGATGCACGTCAATTTAATTCATCCATCCATCCAACCATTCATTCATTGACCACAACAAGAATTGTCGTAGATATTCATTCATCAGAACGACCTTTTCGTTTTTTTACTGCTCCACTTTCTTCCTCGCTGCTACAGAAAAAAAACATATAACTTTATTGGCGTCCCTATGGATGTGTGTATCGGCAGTGTGCTGAGAGATGTCGGGCGGGCATGTCATACATACGAAAACAAAAACAAAAGCGGACGCATCAATTCAGATCCGATGACATATATTTTTATGATCATTTTTTTGTATATTTTTTTCATTCGCGCGGATTATTTAAGCAAACAAAGGATTCCACTCATTGCCGCAAAAGTCAATATGAAATAAGGGAGCTATAAACAACAACAAATAACAAGAAAAGCCCCCACCATCCATAAAACAAACTCTTCCTTAGCCCCATCAACGTCAGACACTACACCACGCAACGCCAGCACCGATCAAGTCCAATCTCATGATTCGTCTACTTTTTTTGATTGGGAGAGACTCACTTATTTTATGAGATGCATATGGCATTTTTATGAATGAATGGGCAAATGAATGACTGAATGACAGTCTGATTGACTTGTTGGGGTGGGGGAGAAGAGACAGAAACAGCAGGCAAATCAGTCAACGTAAAGAGATAAAGGCAATCGGGTGATAAGGTTCATTAATAAACATTATTTTGAACAGCGCCACTACTCTGGACTACTTAGCGTATGTATTTACAAATACAATTATACCCTACGGTAATTGGTGCCGTAGTCCAATCATTAATCAATAATTTGTAATATTAATATAACCTTAGGTTTCGATACGGCATATTGGGGCTTTAAAGTTAGATATGACTTTGAGTGTGCTTTCGAACCCTTGGCTTTCCCCTAAAAACATAAGAACCATCAGCAAAAGTGTTCTGTAGAAAACTCCAATTTGCGGTTTTAGCAAAAATCTTATTTTCCAATTCCTTTTCCTTTTCGTTTTGATAAACATTTACAAATTGACTTTTCATTCCGCATATACTGTTGCGTTATTGGTCTTCCCATAAATTAAATGACGCCTTTGTGAGATAAGATGGATCCTCCATCCATTGGAGATGGTGTGATTTTTTACAGAGTTCTCATCAAATCTGCTACAAAAAAAAAGACCCGTAGCGGAACACATGTCACACTTGGTCTACGATGTTTTGTATGCAAACCAGCAATAGTTTTGCGGGAATTGGATTTTTTCTTAATTTGTTTGTTTTTTTTTTTTCGCTTTTCGGTTGTTTTCATTAACCAGTTCGGGCAAAGCATGGGAATCGGAAGAAGCATCTTTAAGCAAGCTAAATATCTATAAAAACAATAACAACAATTAAATGTATATCTAGCTCTTTAAATACAAAAGAAAACAAACACTATTAGGGGCGCTCTGTTATAATATGTTTTTTTTTTCTTTAAAGAAGCTCGAATGCTGGTAACAAATTTGAATTTAAAATAATAAAAGAGCTGTGATTTTCCGTTAGATTATCCCCTTCTAATGTGTCGCTTAACAGAATTAGTTGTTTTGTAAACATTCCTAATGAAACAATGGATTTCTTTTTCTTTTTTAATCTGTACGTTTCTTCACCTTTATTTTGTATAATTGTGTTTCCAATTATCACATTTTAGAACGTAAAATATTTGGAACAATTTTCCAATTTCCAAAAATAAAAAAAAACTCAATT